CTAAGGTCGATGTGATAAAACACGACCAAATGTTGAAGTTTTAAATTCTCCTACCGTAGGTGGACCTCTCCACAACTCGGCCCACGTCAGAGAAATCATCGGTTGCAGTACCAAAAACGCCCTCTAATGTGTAGTCCTGCAATATTACAGATATGACAAACACATGTAGTACATGTTATGTTTACTGATGTAGTCAGAGTTACCAGAGGGAAGTCCAGCTCACCCTGGTGACCGGTGGGCTGTAGAACTCAGGCAGGATCCTGTTGGCCTTCCCAACGCTGAGAACTGTGGGTAAGAAGTTGGTGATTAAAGAGTGGAACATCAGACATCGGCAGTAATTAACACTTGATTCCTGGTGTCTGTGATGACATCACACCACAAACACGTCTCACCGAGAACCCCAGAAGAAGCCAGGTCCAGACGGTGTCCAACGCCAACTCCAATATGTTGGAATTCAGGACCAGTGACTTCAACACACAGAGAAAAAAAAACATTAAAAAAAAACTAAATTATTATCTAATTAATTCTAATGAATATGTAACGATCCTTGGACAATGTGTTGGCCATAACAGTCCTTTTTACATTTTTCTTTAAATATTTTTCTCTGTCAACATCACTTTGTGATATATTAAAAAAATTAAGCTGTGTTTCGCAAATGTTGTGCCTCGACACATGTTTTAGATTAAGAAAATCCCACAATGCACCACCTGACAGAAATGTCACACAAAATATTTGTTAAGATATAAAAATATATTCTAGTTTCAATTTACTTACTGAGTATAAAAGCTAGGCCTGTTTAGTTGAACAAAATGCTATTTATATGCTATATATATAGTATAGCAATCTCTGCTGCCACATAGTGGAAGAGTATTTAATTACTCTGCCTGTAGGAGTAGCCAGATGAACAGAGAAATTATTATTTGGAGTAAATTAAATTAAATAAATAAAAGTTTTTATATCCACTTAAGTGAAAATATTTTCCACTAGACCATCTCTCATGGCACACTAATGTGCCGCGGCCCAGTGGTTGGGAATGACTTCTATAGAAGATGGAGACCATAATGGAGACCATAAAATCTCAGTGAAGTTAAAATTAACCTCACTTTAACATTAGCCTACATTGACAACATGTTACCCACGGCTTTGTTTACAACTTCTTAATAACTTTACGACTAACCCTCGCATCGACTGAAGACCGTGGACAGGTAGACAGACTTACCCAGATGGTGGTGGGACAGGGCAGGGACAGAGGTTGCAGTCAGTGTGACTCTTTTTTCTCCATCATTGCTGGGCTCTTTGAGTAGACGGATGAGCGGAGGACACGGCTGTCGAGGGGCAGCATTTATGTCTGTAACACGGAAGGTCTTCCAGGATTAATGGACGGATGTTTTGTCAGCGAGGTTACAGGTGAAACACACGGGCTGCCGTACGAGCCACCGCTGAGCAACAACTGCAGGTATTCATTTATTTATTGATATAAAACATTGACTAATGCTGTTTGTTTTCTCACCTGTTAGAAGTTTTGTCTCGATGGTGTCCCGCACGACTCTCCAGTGAACCCCGGGAGGTTTGTACACAGAAAACAGTCCTTCTAATCTGTGAAACACGCGAATCGCTGGGGTCGCCATTTTCGCTAGACATTCGGTCACACGAATATTTAAGTGTCCATCGTTGTATTTGTGTAATTTAATATAATTTCCAAATGAAACTCCTGGCGGTACAAGCTACAAACGATACACAGTTGCCTTCAATTTTCCTACACATGCTGGATGCCGTGTAAAAGTGTGATTGCAGCAACTCACTACCGCCATCTGCTGTGTCGGATGTATGGACACCCGTTCCAATAACAGATAAAATCAATGTGTCCACGGTTCATACTCCACACCGGTTGGTGGCGGTAATGTACCAGTTTCTATTGAACACGATGTGCGGGTGGAGTTTGAGCAGCAGAAGAAGTACAAGAACCGGAAGTAAAGTAGAAGAAGAAAAGAGTTGACAGTAAGCGGAAATTAGCTGCACATATTTATTATTAAACATGACGTGACAGTTGAAGAGTGCGCTGGCAGCGATTATGTCTGAATGTGACGTTTGTTCAATGATCTGTACGTGTCTGTGCAGGTGTAATGCGGGTTCCTCTGAGGTGGGTATTATGGGATGTTCTGGACACGCTGCTGAAGGTGCGCCTGTCTGTAGGAGAGCAGTACTGCAGGGAGGCTGAGAGAATGGGCTTGAACCTGAGTCCTGTGGAGCTGGAGGCCGCTTTCCGACGGGCGTATCAGCGTCACTCCAGCTCGAACCCAAACTATGGCGTCAACCAGGGCCTGGGCGGACAGTCCTGGTGGACGGGGGTGGTTCGAGACACATTCTCCCAGTGCAAAGTTCACGATAAAGTCCTGCTTAATACAATGGCTCACAACCTTTACCAGGGTTTCTGCAATGCTGACAACTGGGAGGTAAATTGAGATCATTTAAAAAAAAGTTCAATATGTATTTGAATGATGTTGGTTCCTGTTCACTGAGTTACAATGAATAAAGATCAGTTTACAAACATGAGGGAAAACTTGGAATTTTTAAAAATATTAAAAATACAATATACTATACATGAATTTCTTAGGGGATGATAAAAAATAGTTTCTTGTTTAACTCTACATGAATTTCATAGGGGATGATAAAATTAGTTTTGTGTATAACTTACATGAATTTCATAGGGGATGATAAAAATTAGTTTTGTGTAAGAACTAACACAAAAATAAAAACACTTCCATAAAACAGGGAAAATTGAAGCCGAACTGCAAAAAGATGAGAATTAAAGATCATGACTTCATGCATTGATCTGAATTATGAAGTCTAAACAACTGTTTTTAAAACTAAAACACAATTTTAGGTGTACATTTTTTGATTGTTCTATAGCTAGCTTGGGGGAACTGTTTTATAAAACTAATTCAAAGTGATCAAAACCCAAACATAAAAAAAAAAGATGGCAAAATAAAACATTGGATTCCTGGTCTGTTTCAGGTTTTCCCAGATTCAAAGAAGGCTCTGGAAAGTTGCTCTTCTCTGGGACTGAAGCTGGGCGTGGTGTCCAACTTTGACAACCGTTTGGAAACCATTCTAACGGCCTGTGACCTGCTGCCTCACTTCAGCTTCTTGATGACATCAGAGGAGGCCCGTGTGGCCAAGCCCAATCCGGCCATTTTTGATCTGGCCCTGCAGAAGTGCGGGGCCCCGGCCGCCAGCGTCGCCCACGTTGGAGACCATTATGTGAAAGATTACCTGAGCTCCCGTCGTGTGGGCATACAGGGGCTGCTGCTAGACAGACACAACACGCAGAGTCAGCGCGATCTCCCCGACCAACATCGACTCACCTCGCTGGAGGAGCTGCCATCTTGGATCCAGCGGCACATGGAGTCATGTGACTGACACGGTGATCATCGTTAAAGTAAATAAATACATAAATAAAAGCAAATGTATTCAGGAGGCTGTGGTGTGCCTGCCGAATAAATGTTAGATTAACATCAATTATTATTGTTAATTAGGGATGTCCGATATTAACTTTTTGCCAATATCCGTTATGCCGATATTGTCCAAACATTTCATTTCGGAATGGTAATATTTATTTATTTATTTATTTATCTGTACAAACTACTGTATGAGTTTCTGGCACCAGCATTCTGCATACAACCCACTGATAATTAAAATAGATTAATTAAATAAGCTGCAATGCTGCCATCTAGTGGCTTTCACTTTTATATACAGCCGTTTTTTTTCCCCCAAACTATTTTTAGCACACACGTCATTTGATAAAACCCAGGCATTGCGTTATCGGGTTTTCATTATCGGAGGAAAAAACGATAACGATTCTGACAGATATTACATAATTATGCTAATATCAGGCCTAATTTTAATCATTTCAGCTGTATATAAATGAGACATGAATGCATCCTTCAGGTCCACTCGTCCCTGGTCCAGATGGTGGACATACCAAACAGCAACATTCCTTTAGACGATTTCAGTTTAATGACCTTTGCATCTGAAGCTGCCGACCTGTAATCGTCTCTGACGATCGGTTCCAGTGCTTAGCAGTAAGGATAACACGGCCCTAATACCGTTGGTTTGAAACCATCTGCTGCGGCTGATACTGCGGATAAAGAACCTTCAAAAGGACGAGGAGAGGTTTGAAGAGACAGAAAAAAAAAAAGTTTCCATTTGTCACAGTTTGACACAGAGTTCAGGAGAATTTCCTGAGAGAACAACGATCCTCTTCAGAGTACACATGGACTCCCAGTACTGCTCTGTGAAGAATACTCTGTGTACTTTAAGTGGCTCCAAGAGCCGCTTATGTCAAAGCCGGTTTAGCAGCTCAGTCCGTCGGCTCTGAGAGGCTCCGCTGAAATCCAATTGCAGACATAATGGGATTGTGAGCAGAGAATGGAGCGCCTCCTGCAGAGAGCCGGAGGTTATGGTGAGACGAAGGCACAGACGAAGAATAAAACTGGAGATTTGAAATGACAGAGAAGAAGCAGCTGTTCAGAAGTTCACACCATGAGTCAAGAACCTGAGCTGTGACAAGATTTAATTTGTGCAAAAACAATAAAAAAAAACAAAACAAAACAAAAGAAGTTTCATCCTTCACTGGGAAACAAACACATTGTGAAAACATGTCAGACAGAAATGTGTTTTTTTTTCTGACATGACATATATACAATCATACATACAATTTTTTTTTTTTTTTTATATTTTAACAAAGATGTCGCCATCATCATACGATGGAAACGAAGACGAGTATTTCAGTTCCTCAGAGTCTCTGGACATAAATGTACCATCACATTAATGTTACCGTGCTTTTTCATTTGCTTCACACCTGACTGCATATCTGTACAAGTCTTCATTTTATCCCCAATTATCTTCAACTGTCAGAGGCTTCAGCCGCTTTAAAAGAGCTCGTTTAAAGTCGATGCAATACTATAAAAGTCCTGAAGTTAGGGAGAAAAAAAAAAGTTTTCTTCTTCAGGAAACTGATTCTAAGGTGAATTAGTGACAAATCCATGAACCTTTTTCCCCATCGGTGCTCATTCAGGCAAAGTTAGATTTCCGTATATTTTCTAACTCTGCGGATGCTTCGAGACAAAGTCAGTGCAGTAGATTCTCAGTGACCACCGTGTCCGTGCACGTGAGTAAGTTAGATTTCCGTATATTTTCTAACTCAACAAAGTCAGTGCAGTAGATTCTCCGTGACCACCGTGTCCGTGCACGTGAGTGGAATTATAGTATGCAAAAATATTTCTTTTTAAAAATAAAACCTCAGAAGTATTACTACTTGGAAGTGCAGTTCAGGAATAAAAAAATAAAAACTGACAGATATCTGAGGCCCAGCAGCAACAACGCAAACCACAGCGGGACAGCTTCAGTCGATGGAGGAGGAGGAGGAGGAGGAGGATGTGGTTTTTAATCCAGATCAAGTCGTCCTCCTGTCAGCTGATGTGAGCACTGTCTTTAAAAGCTGATGTTAAAATGTTCGAAAAAACACGTCTCCTGTGCTGAGAGAGTCATTTTGGAAGTGCAAAAATATAAATATGAAAGACGAAGGTAAGAGACAGGTGTCAGTGCTCACGTCAGTCAGTGAATCGTTGTTGTCCCGCGGCCACGGCGGTCAGGCCTTTTAGTCTTAACTTAACTGCACAGGAGGGTCAATTTCCTCGGGAAAATTCCATCCTCGGAACGAATTGTTGTTTTCCACAGAATCAAAGACGGGAGAAAACACATTCCTGTGTCGTTTTGGTCCAAAGGACTCGAAAATCAGTGCACAAAAACAGGAACGTCACGGATTGTTGAACAGCAGCCTCCAACAGTCCGACCTCAGACACACACGTCGTAATGGTTTCTTCTTCGACACTGGTTCTGAGATGAAGGTTGAAGAACGGCTTCAAACCACTGCAAAAAAAACAAAACAATAAGTCGATATTTACAACTCTGCTAGTACGCCCCCTTCAGGATGACACTAAATCACTGTCTAAACAACATCGTTATATAAAACAACGACGTTAACGTACCGCTCTCTGGGGGATAACAGGAAGTGGCGTGTTTCTCCTGGACGTAACGCTGTGTGTAACGTCGCCGTCGACAATCCTGCTGCCACCAGCAACTACAGGAAATGACCAGGGACCAAACACCAGGTGACTCAAAATGAAATAAAAATAAAATCTGAAATGTGCTTGAACTTTGACTGGAGCGTGAAAATGACATGAATTCAAAGAACTTTACAGAAAAAATAAAAATAAAAATATATTAATGCAGTTCAAGACCTGACAAAAAAATGGTGGTAAAACAGAAGAGAATTTTCAAAATAAAATTTCCAGTTTATATTTAATTTGAGTCTGTAATTAAAATAAAGCTAAGGTATAAATAATCACATTTAAAAAGATTAATTCTTAAATTAAAAAAAAAAGATTAAAACTGAATGAGTGCTTCATACTCACTGTAACAGTGTACACAACAGTATGATGAGAACACACCCAATAACACACAACACCAGCGCCGTGGCAACGTTGTGTGGTCTGTGATTGGTCGCCACCACAGCCAGCAGGTCTGCGTGTTCACACCTCATCCCCATGAAGCCTGGATGGCACCTGGAAAATCAAAAAAAAAAACACCCAAAAAACACCCAAAAAACAAAACAAAAATCATTTATTTTGATCTGACTTTGTTTGGACTGCACTGGAAAATGTCAGATATAAAATATTAATCATCATATTTTGGGGGAAAATAACAAACGTACTGCTACAGGGAGTCCATTTGATCTGACTTTGTTTGGACTGCACCAGAAAATGTCAGATAAAATAAAATATTAATCATCATATTTTAGAGGAACACACTTACACACACGCAGGCGTCTCCTCCAGTATCAGGAAACGACATGTGCCGTGGAAGCAGAAGTGGCGATGGGAGTCTGGACACTCGTCGAAATGTGACCGAACGGCCGCGATCACAAACTCTGTGGAGGAGATAATCCAGTGGACGTCAGTTCACAGATGACGCCGCTCCGAATAATAATAACAATAATATTTATTCATTTATCTGTACAAACCACTGTATCAGTTGCTGGAACCAGCATTCAATCCTCTGATTAATAAAATGAGCTGCAATGCTGCCATCTAGTGGCTTTCACCTTCATATACAGCCGTTTTTCTCCGAAACTATTTTTAGGTCACACATCATTTGGTGAAACCCAGGCTTGTATTATCGGGATTTTTATTATCAGTGGAAGAAAAAAAACGATTCTTACATTCATATACAGCTGTTTTTCCCCAAAACTTATTTTCACATCATTTGGTGAAACCCAGGCATGTGCTATCGGGTTTTTTATTATCGGTGGAAAAACCAAAAACGATTCTTACAGATATTACATAATTATGCTAATATCGGGCTGATAATATCGGTCGGCCGATATTATTGGACACCTCTACTTCACTCTGAATGTTGGACCACTTCAGTGTTAGCAGCGTAGACCTCATATGGACTGGAGTTCTTTGTTCTTAGTCTAGTGTGGATTTCTGATGAATCTGTACCATGGGAGGGCGCTATTAGTCCAGTAAGAGTAAAGGAACACTCCCCAGGAGACACTGAACAAAACTCATCATCTGACGTCAGGCCTCGGGAGAGAACGCAGCCACGTATGGGTCCTTACTCACCAGCACAGACTCTAGACTCACTTACGTCACTTTTTAAAAAAAATGCTAATAAATAAAATAACAACCCATCCAGACGACAACAATTATTCAGACACGTCAAATTCCTGTGGAAGTGACTCCAACAACAGCCAGTGTTCCAGCAGCAGCTACAACAGACGCCGTAGTGACGGACGTCCAGACAGACGTCTTTGTCCCGCAGCTGCAGTAAATGGACTTCTGGACTGCAGCCTGGATGTATTGTGTCTTTCTTTCAGGGAGGGTGAACAACAGCCCTCTGTTGTCCCTGAGGCATCTGTCCTCCAAGTCCTGTATCCATGTGATTTTGGCAGGAGAATGAGGAGGAGACTGAAACAGAGCGCAGCCCTGGGGGGGGGGGGGGGGGTACACACTAAGGTGCCCTTTACATAACAACAATACAGTAGGTGCAGCTTTTGTTCAAATTGCTGAACATGCTTTTCATGCCGCCTCCTCACACTAAGAGGATCAATTATCAGTGCTCGACAGACTGTCTGTGGAATATTGATGCACAGAAACACGGAGGAACTATCTCCAACATTAACCCTGTGGGCGGTGGGGTGGTGGGGGGGGGCAGGAGGAGAGGGGGGGGGGGCGCACACCACACTGGAGGAAGTGGATCAAGGTCTGGATCTGGTTTCAGGTCCTGAGGCTGAATGCGGTGGCATTCATCATCCAGAAGTTGTCTCACAGCTCAGTACCGGACCTGTCTCTGTTCCTCAGCGCTCACAGAGTTCTGAGGCAAACTACGGCCCGTGGACCAGATACGGCCGGCTGGGCTTTCTAATCCGGCCCATCAAACACTGGTACAAGGTTTGGTAAAGACTGATGTCAACTCTGCAGTTTCAGGTGTTACAACAACTCCGCTGTAATTTCTGTTGATGCCACTAGAGGGCGACAGACATCAGATATGCCAAATTATCCTTAAAAGTTTTGGCTTATTCTTATACAATTTATTTAAATTATTTCACCTAGTATTCTACACCCAACCAGTACAGTACCAGTACCAAAAACAGCCCAAAATATCAATATTTCATAACTTATCTTGTTTGTTATTTTCACATTGAAAGCCCCTAGAGGGCACTGGTGCGACTTATATTCTGGAAAATACGGTACATACTTTTAACCTGGAGGCTGCTGGTGGTTGTAGCTGCTGCAGATGTTGTCGTTGTAGTTGTAGTCCTGCTGTTGCTGCCTGTTGGTGCAGAGATGTTCTGAGGAACAGCATCATTTGGATGGACCGGACGCCCAGCATCGAAGAGTGACTCGTTTCTCTTCCCTGCTTCAAATGTGAAGATGAGACCTGAAGATGGCAGCACCAACACGTGTTTAAAACATAACATTTTAAATTCTAATCTGATGCTGTGGAGGTGAGATTATAAATGTGCAGGTGGAACCATCTACTGCTGGACGTCTGACACTCACTTCTGACTTGATGAGCTTCATGTGTGTTAGCGGAGGAGCTCGCGTTAGCGCTGCTGCTCAGCGAGGTGTTTGAAGCGACAGACGAGTTTGTATCAAAGGATACGGGAGCTTGAATCGTTGAGTTGCTTGGCCCTGCTCCAAAAGTAAAGAGGGAACCTGGAGAAAAACACAGGCAGAGAGGAGGGTGGGGGGGTGATGAGGTTGTAAGGTCGAGGAGAGTGGGTAAGGGTGAGGGAGATGTTGAATGTCAGGGTGAGATGGAGGAGAAAAGAGGGGAGATCTGTTACATTTGTCATCTTTGTACCAAGCAGACTCAGTGTGTGGGTCCATTGTCAAGATGTTTGTGTAGAGTCTCCAACTCAAATTACCCAGTGTGACTGTTAGCTTTAGCTGCTGGCTAACTCTCCCAGCAGGACTTCGTTAGCTTGAGTTTAGTTTAGGATTAGTTCCAAAAAGCAAAGATTTAGCCGAGTTTCCAGCAAAGGTAGCAGCGGTAACAAGTGGTAGCATCGATTAAAAACTAGCAATCATTAGCTTCACAACAACACTTTTACCAGGGACAGTGAAGGCATCACTGGCAGGGCTGGTGAAGTAAATGATTCGTTGCACCACATTTGACCTGTGGGAGCGCTATTTCATGACTCTTGTATTACGTACGAAGTGAAAAAAAAGAGAGAGAAAAAAACACCACAGGTGAGTTGTAGTTTTTTTCCATTTGTTATTTTTATAATAAAATATTCAGATTTTTTCACATGCAACCAATAATTTTACCATCATATCGTTGGACCCTCCAAACAAAATGGAAACGACAACAACGAGATCCCAACAAAAATACTCTGTGAATACTCCATGGAGTAGTACCTAAAAACGCACCATCACCTCCACCAGGTGACACCAGGTGTCCCATATCATCACTATTATAATGAAACAATCGGGAGGGGGGGTAAGTCAGAGCCGCTCCTGTTCTACTGTGATCATGTGACCCACTTTTCGACGTGATACCACAGCTTCACTAAGTCTCCGGAGGCCAACAATAGTACTACAGCCGAGGATCTGATAAAAGGATGAAACTAAAGAGCTATTAATACGCTGCAACCTGTAGAGACATGAAACCACAACTGAGGGCGGGTGTGGTACTACTGGGAGTAGTAGTAGTACTAGTAGTAGTAGTAGTAGTAGTAGTAGTTTAAAAAGTTGCTGCCATCACTCCACCAATAATCCATAACCTGAAGATGGAACATTCTAGACAAAAACAAAAACATACAAACCCCTGGACACAAACTGGCAACACTTTCACTGTGCGGCCACACATTTAGGTTCATGAGACGATGTTTATGATACTGATTCTGCTTCGTTTCCTCCCCATTATTCCGTGGACTGAATGTCTGCGGTTTATAAAAATAGATCAATGAAAATAATATATAATATATAATATAATATAATTTTTAAATTTTGTAAATTAAAAAATATGACTAAATGTCACCTTACATTCTTTTTCAATTTCATTTGAGTGACAAACGTTTTTCTAATATATTTTTAAAAATAAATAAATATGTCAATTGTCCCTGAGATAAAAAAATCAAAACGACCGTTACAGAAATACTAATTCCTGGATCCGTTTTCTGGAGTTCTCAGAGTGTTTTCGTCATTTATTTCTGTGGTTTTTTTTTTGTTTTGTTTTTGTTTTAGTTTTTTTTTTTCTGTAAATACTGACAACAGTACTGCTTCAAAACTGCCTGAAACCAGAGACTCACCGCTGATGAGAAGAACTGTGTCCCAGAAAATCCGTGTCATCCTGTCGACCTGGAGCCTCAACTACAGCACTGCGACCTGGAGCTGCATCGAATCACCGGCGTCTTTTAGGAAACAAGTCATTAGATTTGAACGTCCAGATTCGACAACAACAACAACAGCAGCAGCAGCAGAGAAAACACAAAATAAATAACAATACAAAAATGATAATTACAGTGGTAGTCGAAAAAAAAAATACCACCAAAACCAAATCCACTGTTTGTTCAAAAACTCTCACGGCGGAGACGTCACTGTTTTCTCTTTAACAACCAAATGAACCAGAGTCAAACCTGACTGTGTTCAATTGAGGAAACGCGTGTCCGCCTGTCAGAGTCTGACCAATCAGAGGAGGGGCTGAAGTAAAGGGGCGGGGCTTCGGTTTGAACGACAGCTTGAGTTCAGGTATATGTACAACAACGACGGTGTATGAATATGATTCATTCTTGTTTTCATTTGTTCACAACGGGTGATCAATTATAATGATTTATTTAAAGTGATTATATTTTATTCATGTAAATAAATGGTTGTTTATAAATGTAAACAACAGAAAAACAACAGTAACATGTTAGGATTTTAAACTTTTTGAGTTTCAAACAGTGTTAAATGTTAAAAAAACTTGTCTCACATTTACACTGTCTTTTCCATTTAAGTCGTAAATCCGTTTTGAAGACGTTTAAGCTAAAAAAAAAACAATGACGCTCAGCTGAAGAAGTTAGATGTAAAAGTGCTAAGATTTTATACTAGGTGAACACGCGGGGGCAGTGTTGGGTTGTGCAGGCTCGGGATAAATACAGCGTGATTTTAATTTTTTTAATATTTTTTTTTTACCAGCCACGTTTGCCTACTGTCAACGAAAAATAACGATGACGTTCACAGAGTCATTGCTAACTCACAGTAGATTCAGTGTCATTCCTGTTTGTTTGTTTATTTATGGAAATACAAATTTTTCTTTCTATTTCTCATTAACTCACTTCCTCCACTGGACATTTACACTCGTATGAATCAGTAACAAAACATTTTTATTTTGTTAACCGTTTCACAAAGTTGGATCCCGCAGTGCCTAACAATTGACATTTGAATCGATGGATAGATAGATAGAGTGATTGATGACGTAACCGTGACGACACGTGAAAACTTTCTCGCGCGCACCATACACTTGCTAGTGGTTATTTACTCTTCACACAGATGTGAACTAATTTTTAAGAACACAAGACAACCTCGAAACCAACGTCAACCTAGCGCCGCCTGCTGGACAGACACAGTTAGGGCGAAGTTTTACACTAATTCTGCAGCACGTGCATGAAAATGTTCTCGGTCACAGCCGCGAGTTTAGACATTGACGAGGTGATGGTCCTGGCTTTACCAGCAGACGGACCGATGGAAGCAGCCAATCACGTCACTGCACATTCCCCCTTTGTTTGTCTGAATGACTGACTGATCAATAGTCGGTGGAGACGGTGAATATTGACACTCGTAAATCATTGTGTTGGTTTTTCATTGTCAAGAAAAAAAAACAAACAACAACTCTACGTGCATAACAGACTCAGTGCACCTCTGCAGCCAATCAGAAGCCACATAACGGTACCTGGCGCAGACATGTGCCTTGGCTTGATCTGAGTTGGTGAATTGATGGGGTTGACTGTGAGGGCAGACTGAGAGAACTGTCGCTGCTCCGGGACTTCGTCGAGTGTTTCAGTTCAGTTACCGACGCGATGTCAAAGTCTGGTCCCCAGAAGGTAAATATATGTTTTAATTTATACATACATTGACATGTGTTTACTTAATTACTTAATTACACACCGGTGAAAAGTGTAGCCAACTCTTCAAACTCATCAGATTTGGAACTGATTTAAAAGTAGTTTCTTTACCTGATGTTTTCCAACACTGAGTTGTTGTTTTTTATAAATAAATATATATATATATATGTGTTGTGTTTCCATGTGACTCTCCAGGGCAGTTCTCTGAGGCTGGTACTGATGGTGCTGGCTGCAGGCACCGGAGGAACTCTTCAGTATGGATACAACCTGGCTATAATGAACGCTCCCACAACTGTGTGTTTGTGTTTGGTTTTTTTCATGCTAATTCGAAATATTTTACCTGGTACTGAGTGTGTGCATACGTACACCTGCGGTGCCGGTTACACCAGTGTATTTTTTTAAATTTATTTTGTGAAGAAGAAGAACATCAAAAGTGTCATCTTTTAATGTATTTCTCTTGATTAGCTGTTTATCAATTAGGACTTTTATCATCATGACGTTGGATTTTAATTCTCTGATGTGTTAAATAGACAAGGATCAAATACTGGTGACAGTTTGTGGTGAAGTTTTTTAAAGTTGTTGTACTCCTATAATATATATATATATGTGTATATATATGTATGTGTATATATATATACATATAAATATATATACATATAATCCTATAGAGAATCCTATAGAAAAGAGCTGACCAACATCTAACGAACAACTCAATACTTAAATATACATATATGTATATATATGTTAAATACATATATGTGCATATATATATACAGATACATGTATATATATTTATATATATATATTTTGTTCTTGAAAATGCTGATGATGATGATTTGACTCGGTAGATAAACACGTTTGGTTTTTTTCGGATCATAAAAAGAACAATAATTAACCCAAGTCTTTCACCACTTTGGTGAAATGTGTTAATCGGCATCACCACCGTCGGCTGCTGCGTTCACGTCGAGCGTCACTGATTAACAAAGTCTGACCTGAATGACAAACGTTGTCTCGTCTTCATCTTCAGTTCATCCAGACCTTCATCAATGAGACGGTGCGGGAACGCTGGGCCGTCCAGTTAGAGGACTACCAGGTGACCTTGGTCTGGACAATCATTGTCTCCATCTTCTCATTAGGCGGGTTAGCAGGAGCTCTTATCACAGGACCAATGAGCATACACTTGGGAAGGTGACCTGTACCATATATGGTTTGAATTTGGATTTGGATTTTTTTTTTTTTTTTTTTTATGAAAGTCCAAATGGTCACACGGGAGGATTACTTTAATGTCACGGTGTTTTCTGTTCTCTGTTCAAGGAAGAAATGTCTGCTGGTGAACAACGTCTTCCTCATGGCGGGGGCACTGTTCGCTGTTACCAGTAGAGTCGCCAGATCCTTCGAGATGATCATCATATCACGCATCCTGGTTGGAATAAACTGTGGTATGGTCATTAAGTTAGTGATACAGTGAATAATTTAAATATCTTACTATTAATAACAATAAATAATTTCCCTGGATAGTAGTTATAATGTATTTAATAATAGTTAAATTCATTATATCGTTATTATATTATTGCATATCTGACGTTATGCAGTAATATGAATTTTATTGTGTATATTTATATTTATTATTTACTATATTTATTTCCATTTTGAGGAGAACTGAGTGGAACACACAGAAACTCACCTGTCTTTCAGGAATCGGTATGAACGTTCAGCCCATGTACTTTGGGGAGAGTGCACCGAAGCACCTCCGGGGGGCGGTCTCGTTGACATCGGCAGTTTTTGCAGCTTTTGGTGTGATGTTGGGACAAGTGGTCGGACTGAGGTACGCAGGGTTTTGTTGGGTTTTTTTTTTTTTGTTTTGTTTTTTTGGTTAAGGTGATTATCTCCATTGTTTTGCAGAGAGATCCTGGGCAGCGAGCCGTGTTGGCAGTACCTTCTGGCCAGTAATGCCATTCCTGGCCTCATCCAGCTCCTCACCCTGCCCTGGTTCCCTGAGAGCCCCCGATACCTGCTGATTGACAGGGGGGACAAGGAGGCCTGTATAAAAGGTGGATATTTGAATTAGATTCTTGCAGCGCGTTCCAAAACAAAACCTGCAGAAAAGTTTCAAAACAACTCTTCTAATGCAAAATAAGGACAAGGCACCGTAGGGTCATGCACATTCAGCAGCAGTTTCCATACTTGCCCATGACTGGAGGTTTGTGTGTTCCAGCTCTCAGGACCCTCCGAGGCTGTGAGGTCCAGAGCAGCGAGCTCGATGAGATTCTCCAGGAGCAGGCAGAGACGCAGGGCATGAGGCCCAGGCGAATCTGGGAGCTGTTCCCTGATCGCTCTGTTCGCTGGCAGCTCATCTCCGTCATAATCATCAGCAGTGCCATGCAGCTCTGTGGCAACGATTCGGTGAGAAGTCCGTGGACGGAGGTCATTTATGACCTTTAAATCTAAAATCTGAATTGTAAGGAGTAAAAGCAGATATAAAATATAAATATAACATCAATAGCAACAGTATACAAGAACCGTATTTTCTAGGGATGTCCGATATTAACTTTTTGCCGACATCTGATATGCGATGTTGTCCAAACACATTTATTTATTTATCTGTACAAACCGCTGTAAAAGTATGAGATTAATTAAATGAGCTGCAATGCTGCCATCTAGTGACTTTCCCTTTAATATACATCTGTTTAACCCCAAAAGTATTTTTAAGGTACATATCATTTGGAGAGGTTGTCAATATTGGAGAAAAAAAAAAGATAACGATTTTTACAGATATTAAATAATATGCTAATAAAATAATATCGGTCGGACGACATCCCTAGTATTTATCGGACTATAAGTCACGCTTTCTTTCATCCTTTGGCTAGGTTTGCTGCTTACAGTCCGGAAAATACGGTGGATAAAAAAATATAAAGCGTTCAAACATTTTCTGCCACGTTGTTTGTTGCCTGAACTGAACAATATCTATGATATAATTCGGGAAATCTTTAATCAAATAATTTTCTCAATCAATGAGAGTCGATTAATCGATTAAAGTCTGTCACTTGACATGGCGTTTGGCGGATGGTGGTGTCAGTGGGTTCCTGCCTCTGTGGAGGCAAAAATGACATGCATCTTTAATCAGGGGAGAGAGGGGGCGATGCTGAGCTCCAGTTTCAGATGGTCTACAGTTTCCAGCTTCTCTGTACAAGTGGTGATCAGTTATCTGAGATGATCCGTCAGTAGTTTGTCTCCTGTACATGTTCTCTCGAGCTCATGTCAATAATACATACAGTGACGTCAGACTAGAACGTTCTATACACAAGGTTTCACACGGAGCAGCAGTCTTGACTCATTTTTTTTAATCTAACTCATCCAAAAAATAAATGCCGACTCAGCGTTTGTGTTTGTTCTAATCACATACTTGGCAGGTTTAGGTAGAGTACCGGGTATTATCACATAATATCCTTGTACAACATACATAATCTGCTTAAATACTTATTTCCACTGCACTCTTCTACAGTGTGTTAAAGTTTGTTTTTTTATGTTTTG